TTATCATATTAAAGATACTTGGTTGAGGACCTATGGAGTGGCTCCAGTGGTAGAGTGTCTGCCTCCCCCGTACAGTCAAAAATAAAACCTGCTTGGCTTTGTGGGCCAAAAGATCTCTGCCATAACTATCAGTTCTAGTGTTGCACTATGAAATCAGCCATAGAAAACATATAAATGAGTTGTTGGGTCTGGTTTTCAATTAAACTTTATTTATGAAACAAATCAAATGGAGGGCTGAATTTGGTTTATTGACTATAATTTGCCAAGGGTGGTTTTATAGCATCAAAGTGTAATGTTTGTATGTTCACACACAATTTATATTTTGTGTATTAGACTCGTCAATATTCCAGGGTTACCAGTTTTGTAGAATAATCATGGGGATGAGAGAAAACTAAATGTTTATACCTTAATTATATGGTCAGTAACTCCTGAAACATGTTATAGACTGAAAAAGAAGCTCAGAGAAATGGCTCAAGCCTGTAATCCTAGCTACTGGGGAGGCAGAGATTGGTTTGAGGCAAGCCTGAGCAAAAAGTTAACAAGACCCTGTCGCAATAAAAAACTAGCTGAGCTCGGTGGCATGTGCCTGTCATCCCAGCTACACAAGAAGCATAAATAGGAGGATCACAATCCAGATTGGGCCTGGCATAAATGTGAGTCTCTATTTGAAAAATACCTAAAGCAAAAAAGGACTGGGAGTATAGCTCAAGTGATAGAGTTCCTACCTAACAAGGATGAGGCCCTGAGTTCAAACCCCAGTGCTGCAAAATACACAAGCATGCAGACAAACAAATAAAACCTAACTATGCACAGACTCAGGTAATTTTTTTCTGAACAAATATTCTACTTTTGACCTCCAGTTGCCACATAGCTCATTTCTTCTTCTGTCACTGTGTCCACTGTGCTTTTTGTCTAGTCATCAGGTCCTTTCTGTTTGTTTTATTACTTCCTTCATTTTGTAGGTATTTGTGACTCCTATAGTCTTAAATATTCATATTCTCAAAAGCCTAGAATGGTTTACAGAATTAAATAAATATTTTACATATATAATGCATTATAAATAGTGTAAATATGCATTATATTATATATATATCTCATTGGCTACACTCCTATATTTTAATAGAGTAATTTCCAAAGATGACATAGTTGATCCTTTCAGCAAATGTTTTTCTCTTGTTTAGCTTTTCTGGATGTAGTTATATTTTGGTTATATGTCTTCTTCCCATAAAAGTTAAGCAGCCAAAGATTGCTTTATAGTTTATATTTTGGCTTCCTGTGTGTACACCACGGTCACATCTTTTTGGCAGCCACGTGGGAGGTGGCTTTGTACAAGATCACATTTAGTGGACACAAAAGGAAATGTTCATTCACATCAGCGTGTTGCTCTCAAGATCAACTTGAGACTGGTGACTCGACACGATTGTCTTTTATCAATAATTGATGCACCCATTCTCACATCTTCCCATATCCTGCTGAATTTTAATAAATTTTCATCCTGATAGGTAGGGGATATTAATTTAAAGGGAATGCAAATTATGTTTTACCGTCCCATAAATTTCAGTTGAGTAAGGTAGAATGGAAATTATCAATGCAAATTCACTGTCATTAAAAATACCACACACCAAAAAACACTTGACTGAAAGACAGTGCTGAGCTGTGTGAGAGCTGGCTGATCTCATAGCAGTGTTCTTGGCAGCATCTTACAATGCTGCTTTGATGACATTCAAAATTATGTCTCATTTCCTGAGTATGCACTTTAAGACAATTTGTTTAAAATTATTAAAACCAAGCCTTAATGGATAAACAATCTTTATCATACTGACATGATCGAATGCTATGCAACAATTAAAAGAGATGTGGGCAAGTTCAGTTGGATGATTTCAGAGGCATGATGCTATGTGAAAGTTTCCAGGCTCAAAGGGTTGCATACTACATGATTCCATTGATAAGATGTTCTAGAAAAGATAAAACTCTATGATGAAAACAGAGCAGTGGTTGCCACACAGTAGGGACTAGGGAACAATTTCACCATGGTGGAGAAGCTAAAGCAGTTATTTTGGGTGAAAAGAGCTGTTCTGATTCTGGAATGGTTATTCAAATTTACACTTTTGTTAAAAACCCTGACACTTGCACATAGACAAAATGTCAGTCTTATTGTATGTTAATTTACTTTAAAGTAAACAAAAAAACCAACAGTGCTTATTGAGAATGTAAAAATAATGATCTAACAATAGTGGTCTACTAGAGATTTCTGTTGACATAACTATTAATTGCATTGTTTTTAGTAAAAAATTAAGTCATTGATTTAATTATTAGGTTTGCAAAAGAAGTGAAAGTAAGTAACAGAGGTTCAACTCAGTGGTTCAGATCATAAGCTTATATAATTGTATAGGGGAGTATTCAAAGTTATGTGTCTCCCAGCAGCTGTAACTCATCCTCCTGTGCATACGGAACATTTTGCTATACCTTATGGTAATCATTTTCCTACCTGGGTGTATATATATATGGTGTGTGACAGTTACAGTGGCTATGGGAACTATAACTTTAAGTTCTGTGACTTTTCTGTGAGTCAAACCAGCCATAATATTGAATTAATGTCATTCCTCACATTGATTCTCCCTGTTGTTATAAGTGGAAGACTTATCAAATGTTTCAATAAAAGGTCTGTGTTCTTTTTTGATACAATGTAATGATGGTAATTATGTAGGCTAACTTTGTCACTTGATAATGTCATTATTAAGTGCAGCGAGGCCAACCCTGGAGAATAACATGGTCTACCAGTGTGAGGAATGATGAAGTTTAACTATCCATCTGGTGACTCTTCCTGTTAAAAGTGGAAGCTACCAGACTACTGGAATGTTTGGTTAAAATAACATGCACTTAGCTGCGTGCCAGTGGCTCACGCCTATAATCCTAGCTACTCAGGTAGCAGAAATCAGGAGGATCATGGTTCAAAGCCAGCCCAGGCAAATACTTCGTGAGACCCTATCTCAAAAAAGCCTAACACAAAAAAGGGCTGGTGGAGTGGCTCAAGGTGTAGGTCCTGAGTTCAAATGCCAGTACCAAAAAAATATACACTTTAAACAGAAGTTCTCCCAGCCCTGGCAGTTTTATAGAACTATCTTCAGATATGGTGTGATCAAGTAGAACACTGATTCATGTAATAAAATTTGAGAGGGCAGTGGGGAGTTTATAGGCTGAAGGGTACCAGATAGCACAGATTACTGTTGGTTCTGCATGTAAAGGTATAGTTATTGGTAGAGTATATCAGGCAGAAACTGAATTGGATTATTGGATTTGATAACATTCAGTGTGAAAGGCATGCACAGAAATCTTTTGAAACTGGGCAAGTTGAGTAAATGTTGTCTGACCTGACTAACTCACTTTGGTGTCTTTTTAAACGTAGCACACAGAGAGACCAAGAATAAGGAGGACAGGTTGCTCACGGAAAGACCTTTTATCTCCTTGTCTGCTATCAAGCTGAGCCTCACATGGAGAGTGAGGACTGTTTTTCTTCCAAAGCAGCAATTGTTCTTCCAGGGCCAGGAGAATACAGTGACTGAAGTGCCAGTGTCCTAGAGAAAGCTCAGTGTTCTGAAATTTCTTTACATTTGGATGTTCATCTGAATTGATCAAAAGGTCTTCACAGTCTAGGACCATTAAACCTGGGGCTGGTGGAGGCATGAACATATTCCATGAACTCTAGTGCCTTTGCTCTTCTTGGCTAAGGAACAGTGGAGGCTCTCAGCCTGCTGGTTTCAGACTCATTTCTGCCTCATTCACCTCTTCTTGGTGTCACTGCATGCAGAGGTTAGGCCAGAGAGACTTTGCTTGTTTGGAATTCCTCGTAATTCACCATGGAGGTTAAAAAATTGCCCTCCTGGTCTAGAATCAAGGTTCCATTACTATCTCAAATTCTATTTAAAAGTGTAGCAGCCATCCATCCAGGAGGCATCTCTGAATTGACCCAAGACATCCCTTATGGTCACTATGAATGGAAAGACCTTAGTGCCTTCATTCCTGGTCATTACTACCAGTCATTCATGGTTTTCTAAGCAATCTCTGCAAACTTCTTTCCTGTTTCCAAATTGGCTTATTAACCATGGGCTTACCCAGCCTTCTTAAGAGGGGAAACCCCATCTTTGATCACAGAAAGTCAGCCAAGGCTGATGTGCTAGACTAATAAGCACATGCTGAAATTGCCAGGCTAAGGGGGCACATTTGCTCCTGTCCTCTCCACTCTGCCTTACCGTGCAGGTGACTGTTCTCATACTCACTCCAGAGACTTCAGAATGTCCTGCCACTCTTGTGGACATCCCTCATTTGTGCACATACAGCCTGACACAGTGGAGAAGTCTGCTGTATCCTGTGCCATCTACTGAATGATGCAAGGTTTATTGCCCTGCAAAATCATTTTTTGAGTTTGAGAAGCATATTTATGTCAGCCAACAGACACTTCCCACTGTGAGGTCATTTGTTGAGAATTTGCACTTCCTAATGTTGGTTTGGTGATTGCACAGTTGTTAGACCTGTGAAGATCTGGTTTCAAGAAGGTCTTTAAGATCACATCAAAATGCTTCCTATCTTGTGAATGTGCCCTGTTTTCTGGAACCTGAGCTACTCATTTCCCTTTGATGGTTGAGGGCCAGGCAGTCCCACCTGGGAGTGATGTGGCAAGATGTCCTGCTATTTTTCCTTCACTGGGATTAAAGCTATTTGCTTGCTGAGCACTTCGATGAAGTAGGGATGCTCCTGATCCAGCAAGACAGTGGAATTGGCCTGGTCCACACTCCAGTCAATGACTTGGAAGACAGAGGCCACAGCCAGATAGACACCTCTGAGTTCACCTCTTTTTCCCAAACAAACAGGAAGGAAGCCCACACAGCTGAAACTGAGTATGCAAATATCAGACTTCCAAAGGGAAAGACCTGAGGCAGGATACCCATCATAGGACACTATTCATTTGCTTTTTTAAAGCAGGCTTTTGTTTTTCTTTACAGAGGTTACGTGGCAATGGTAATCTGAATGCTTCTATGACATCTCAGCACTATGAAGAACAATCTGTGAGTGATGTTCCTTAAAAATAAATGCCAAAATAGACATTGTAAACATTTCTTATCAAATGTTTATATTTCTTTGCCTCTTTTATTTCTAAAGAATGGTGTACTGTATCCACTCACAAAAAAAAAAAAAAAAAAAACCAGGCCTTGCAAGTTTTAGCTGGGAGAGATTAATTCAGTGTGTATTGATTGGTCAGAAGAATAGATTCTTCTAAATATATACAGCAGCGAGGCAGTTGAGAGAGATTGAGAAGGAGACAAAGCCATTTTGAAGTACTTTGAAACTATCGAAAGACAGTTGTCAAGGGCGGCTTTAGCCACAGATCAATTAATTGAATGTCTAATAAGTGAATGATAAATTATTTCATCTGGCCTCTTTGAAGAAAGGTAAAAATCTGAACTGACTCAATAGTTTCTTTGGATTCATATAAAAGATATTAAAAAATAGGCTTGACTTTGACATTACAGCCCATGGGAGTTGACACATTTCTGGAGAGGGAAGTGATGGAACTGGGGAAAGTGACAACTTGAGGGTTGAAGAGACACCAGGGGTGGGTGCCAGAGAATGAATGAAAAAGGTGGCAAAGCCAGGAGAGCCCTGGAGAATGCCCCATGTGGACACAGGCAAGGGGCAGCATTTAATGAATAGGAGTTCTCAGGAATGATGGGCCGAATGTCAAGAACTGTAAAAATTATTTGTCCCCACCTTTCCCCCAAAGCAAGAGCAAGACATATTTTGTTGACATTTCACTTTTAATATTTCCTGTAATTAAAACATGTATAACTTGCAAAAAAAAAAAGAACTGAAATTTTATCCCACGTGGAGGAGATCTGCTAGCATTGATGGGCATAGGTCAATGGAGCATGGAAGTGTTGACACGTAGGTAGGTGGGGCCAGCCCTGCAGCTTCACTTCTGCTTTCTAGTTCCTCTCTGGGTTCCACTATGAGTTTTATAAGAAGAAATCCCACAGTCAATTAATGAGTTTAAGGGTTTCATAAACTAGCATACCACTCATCTACAGGATAGTTCATCCTGAAAAGATATAATCATGATTCCTTCTGAATTTAGATGAAGTCCCATTGGAGAGAAATATAAAGACCTGGTTCATAGAGAATTGCAATCAAGTTATCAAGTTGTTCTGACATTTTTTTTTCCTTCTTAAATTAAGCAGTGGGGTGTTTGGGCAGGAATTCTTTTGCTTGAGCCCAAGACCTACTGACTTAAATGCCTTCTTCCTTCTTACAGAGTCTTGGGGAAGCCGGCGATGGCTTGAGTAATCTCCCCAGCCCTTTTGCATACCTGCTCACCATCCACCTGAAGGAAGGCCGCAATCTTGTCATCCGAGATCGTTGTGGTAAGGCTGGTCGGTCCTGTGCTTTGTGACCTGAAAACGTCTTGCTGTCTACCCTTGTAGAAGGTTGTCAGTCAGTCTTTGCCATCTCAGTATTGTTTAGGATACCTCGGAGATCAAACCTAAGTCTCTGTGGGTACATTTGTGGTGAATTACTTAAACACACTGAATCCTGCTATCCTTTTTATATTATTAAATAATAATACTACTACTGACAATCTCATAGCGTCATCCAGAATGAAATGGGGAAACTAAGGTAGTTTTATGCCTGGCACCTAGGAACTGCTCAAGAAAATGTTCCCTTGATCCTACTTCTTTAATTATCTATAAGAAAGATGGGAATAACTAAGGAGAAGTAATCACATGTACCAGTTGATGGGAATACTCTTTAATGGACCACCTTTTTGCCTTGAAATCCTACAGCACTCTCTCTAACAGCTGTTACCAGTTTGTGATTGCTTTGTTTATATTTTACACAAATGTCTATATGGTTCCATATCTGTGTGTGTGTGTGTATACATATGTACACTTTTTTTAACTTTTCATTATCAGTTTTCAGCATTAATATTTGCTCCTCATACATCAAAAACATTTTTTCTTCCTACCTGTTGCTTACCCCTAATTTCAAAGCCCTTTTCATTTTCTAGAGATTTTTCATTTCATTGTAGGCAAGTTAGGACTGTCATACTGTTTTTCAATATTTTTTTTTACTTTACAACATATATTCAAGATTGACCATACTTTTCCATGCAAATATACCTTCTTTCTTTTAAGTTCAATATGAATTTTTCTTTATATTTTTCTACTGATGATCATTGATTTTTTTCCTACTTTCTTGCAGAATAAATAATGCTATGGGTAAACCATGAGTGCTTTTGTGCACAGAGGACACGCATTAGATTAAAAGTAGTGTAAGCTGAAGAGAAGACAGTGGAGTCAGACTGCCAGGGCCAAAATCTTGGGTTCTTGCTTTAAAATATTCCTTGATTCCATTCCTCCTCATATCCTTTCTGTTACAATGACCATAGTGATGTTAACCTGCTATATAGACAATTAGGATTATAAGCTTTAACAATATCCAATATGTATAAAAGTGTATATATATACATATAACTATGTCAAATAAGTATCAAATGTTCAATTGAGATTTGTCTTCTAAATTTGTGTAATTTGTTGTAATTTTCAGCTCTAACATTTGTTTTTTATATATCACAAATATTTTTCTTCCCACCTGTTGCTTAGCTCTGATTTTATGGCCCCTTTCATTTTTCAGAGGTTTTTCTGGCAAATATATGTTTTTTTCCTTATGGTCTTTTCCATTTATTGTGTTTAGTAGTTCAGGCCTTTTGCTTTGAGTTTTGGGTTCTGTGTCAAGTCTTGGCCACTTTCTCCTATTTCTTCCGCTCTTAGTCTTTTTTGGAACACTGTTTCAAAGAAGGAAGGGACTTTTGACTCTGTCTTCTACTTTTCCTTTCTCATTTTTCCCATAGCCTTTTCCATTCAGGAAGGATTCCTCATCTTGATCTTCTAGATTGCTAATTTTCTTATCACTTGTTAATAATATGCCTTTAAATGTAGCTATTGAGTTGTCATTTTTTTCATTGCTATCACAGCCTATTTTCATTTTATGAATGAAATCATGCCATCTCTTTTTTTGAGAATATTAAGGATACTTTTAAAATCTGCTTGGTGATTTATCTGTTTGATGTTACTGCATTTGCTGCCTCTCTGTGGGTCATTAATTTTCTTTTGTGTGCTTGATTCTCTGGAGCAGGGATACATTTTTGTGCATCTCTGTCCTTCATTTGTGAATGCTGTTTTTGTTTACTGTATCCTGCCCTCTGTGAGGATGGTTAGGACATGCAACTGACAGGGTGAGCCAGTAGCTCAGGCTTGGTTCTTCCTATTCACGGCTCTCACCAGCTCCTTTATCAACTGCCACTTTGGGCCATTTATTCTGGCTTACTGCCTATATGGACTCTTCTTGTTTATCCTCAAGTGCCTCTGAGGGTCATTGTATAGAGTCAAAGGAAATGGTAGTGCTGGTCCATCCATATGCCATGTGTGCTGTACCATCTAGCACTCTGAGAGCTGCTCAGGCCAACTTTGCTTCCTGTGTCCTCTGCCTCCAAGCTCGGAGAATCCTTAGTTCACCTGTCACACACTTACTCCTCTTCCTTACCTCAACTTTGCCCCAGAAAACATTTTGGTATGACTTAGGTTTTTGGTCTGTAGAGTATCCAATAAATCTCATCTGGTTTCCAATTTTTAGGACAGTGTGAAGTATGTCCTTTTTTCACATCTTAAAATTTCTCTAGTGCTCATGTCTGTGTGTTTGTGCTGTCTCTCCTCTCCTCTGTTCTCCTCTCTTCTCCTTTGTTCTCCTTTCCTCTCCTCTCCTCTCCTCTCCTCTCTCTCTGGGTTTTCTCAGATGAATCATTTCAAAATAGGGAAGAGTTCCATCTTTTCCTTGTAGGTAAATAGTTTTTTCTATCAAAAGCCTAATTTTTATGTGTTTCTTTTCCCCTTCTTGCACTCTGTCATTGTTATAAATGCACATTTTTTACAGATACCTCTTCAACTCATTTTAATGACAAGGGGCAGATACTATTTCATGCCTACAATATACCTAAAGGATGTAAACATAAACCAACATGAAATCTCCACTTACAAACATCCTGATTCTTGTTCTAGACCTGCACAGCATTCTAGTGGCTTCTTTTGTCAGCTAAAGATCACTGTCACTTCCATTTTGTGACACTATATTCAAAGATTGGAGGAAGGTTTTAGAAGAGGGTGTATTTAAATTTTTGCAATTTTCACCATGTTATTTAACTGTTTGGATGTGCGTAGTCTTGGACCTCTTCCATAAGATGACAACTTCCTCCCTCTCTCCTTTTCTCCCTCCCTCCCTCCCTTCTTTTCTCCCTTTTTTCTTTCTTCCTTCCTTCCTTCTCTATTTTATTTTTCTGCTTCTTTCTCTTTTATTGATGTGAGTTATCAACTTACATCACCTTGATACATCATAGTGATTCAGTCACAGTACCGTCCTCATAGGTGGTCAGTAAACTTACTGGATGATAAAGTTATTGAATATACCAGAAATTGAATGAAACAATGGGGCCCATGAGTATTATCTCCATATATTTCTGATTTTATTTTATTTGATACATAATTACATTTACAGGTAGAATGTTATGTTTTGATACCTATATATATTGTATAATGATCAAACCAGAGCAATTGGCATATCAATCACCTTAAACACATTAATTAATGTATTATTATAGTTTTTAGTACAATATTTAAAATCACCCATGTTTCTCATGCCCGGTTCAGAGTCATTTCCATATTCTGTGTCAATGCCCCTATCATTGAACTTGGCACTTGGTCCTTAATTAGTTAATTTGTCAATATCCCTGTGCCGCCTTCTTCTTTAGCATAGGGATTTGTTTACATTTAGTTTTGTTTCCATATATGCAATCATGTGTTTTTTAAATTTAAAAATAAAACAGATCAACTTCTTCAGATGCTGATTTTCAATTATATAGGGACTTCCTCTTAGTGTTGTTCAAATGTGTGGCATTGAGAAGCATCTACAAGGTTTTCAGTTTAGATTGCACAAGCTCTATTTTTGAGGCCTGGGGGAGAAAAATATTTTTGATGAATCATTGAATCATTCCCTGCTAAAGAACGAGATTAACATTTTCTTTGAATTGTTATATAATCATCACTGTTTATATAACTTTCTGTCTAGAACATGGGTTGGCCAACTCTTTTTTGTAGAAAGCCAGCTGGGAAATATTTTAGGCTTCATGGCCCAGAAGTGCCAACTATTCAACTCCGTTATCCTAGTGGGGAAACAACCACAGAGAATACATAAACAAATGAGCACAGCTATATCCCTATAAAATTTTATTTGCAAAAATGTGTGGTGGTCTGGATTTGATTCATGAGTTAAAGTTTGATGAATATTCTGATGTAATTCCTGGATTCTTCTTCTTGGCTATTATAAGAGTAGCAAATTAAAATATCATTTACAATAAAGAAGGAATAATATTTAATTAGGCAGTGACCAAGATTTGAAACTCATAGTTTCAGTGGAAATATCTATCTAGGAAGCATCACGGTAATAAGACTTAAAATAATACATAAAATTTGGAAGTGTTAGGTGACAAAAATCTGTTTTTGATATATCTTTGGACACTAGAGTGAAAGACAAGGTACTTTTCTCAGGACAAGATGGTTCTGACAAACCTCAAGGAAGTGTGTTAAGCAGTAATTACAGAGTTTGTGATGGAGGATTTGAACCTAAAGGAAACAAGGGGAAAGAAGTCTCCCAGGCACCAGAGTGCCCCCTATCTGTTGGGATGCCATCGACAGAGGCTGGGAAATATACTCCACTGGTATAAAGTACTATGCACTATTTATCTGATTCAAACACTCACTTCCCTGGCTCAAACACAAAGCTGGTTTGTTTAGTTGACCCAAAAGTGCAGATATTAAAATTTTAAGATGTATTTGATGAAGTGCTTTAAACTATAAGGTTATCAATTGTTCTTTGGAAAGAATCAGCAGGGAGCTCAGATATTTAGAACAATGGCTATGTTACTGGAACCAGTGAGGCTCCAGGGAGGTCTCCAAAACTCAGGAGCCTCTACCTGGCCATTAAGTACTGTGTTCATGACATAATCAAAGAGGAAAGGATTTCAGGGCATGTTAAGGTAGAGGAGAGGAAAGTTTATTAGTAAACAAAACAAAAGAAAGGACAGTATACACCCAGACCTGGGTGTGGGCACACAAAGAGAGGGTACAGATATGTTCTAACATGAAGGGGTATTTATGAAGAAAAAGTGGATTTAGAATTTGGTTTAACTCATCTTAGGATCAATACTCCACATAATTTTGGACATCTGGATGCCTTAATCATTCTTGCTGCTATACTACTTTGACCTTATCAGTTGGGCCTCAACATATCAAGTCTGATCAGTTTTACTAAATTT